GGGGGGGGGGGGGGGGGGGGGGGGGGGAGGAAGAGAGAAAGGGAACAAAAAGCCCAAGGCCTCCCATGCTCACAGACAAGGATTCTAATGGTTGGTTATCAAAAAACCCAAGAAAAACCTCTACAAAATTAATTTTAACAATACTGACAATGCAATAAAGTAACAGCCTAGATCAATTTTGAACCTTGCATTCAAAGTGTATGAGGAAATAGACACTTGAAGTGAAAGCATGGAAACGATATTTCAATTACTCAAATCTCAGGTGTCATTGTTGACATTTCAGCGAAACAAGATCTAAAATGATATACAGTGAACTAATATTGAGCAGTGTTGTATGAATACCCTTGTGAACACATGCATAAACAGAAGACAAACTATAGAAAAGTTGAGCTTTCTGGACTGAAATTACACATGACCCTTCAAGACAGATCTTGAATCAAGTGAATTCCAACAAATATTTCTGATAACTGACTCAACATGTAATAAAATACTACCCCTTTCAGGTGAGCAAATGAGGCAATTTTGATATTTAATGAAAACATTTTTTTTTACGTAGCTCTCTTCTGACCCCATAATATTCTAAATAAAACCTATTCTTCCTTTCAGTTACATACTAATAAATCAATCACATAAAAAACTAAGTAATACAGGTGGCTTGAAAAGAAGAATTGAAAACATTGTTTTTAAAGGAGGACAAACACCAATGGTGATCTTTTTAACTCTAAAAAGTCATTGGGCCTTTGGCTAACTTAGTATCACAGCGAAGTATGACGTTTATATAGCAAGCTTGCTCTTACTTTAAATCTACTGTATTTTGAAAAGAAATGAACATAAAATTTTTTGGCTCATCAACTTTCTTAAATAAATTTTAAAAAGTTGTAGTTTAAACTATATTCCTAAAAATATACAATTCCAACACCAAGTTTCATCTTCTCCAAGAACGGGATTCGTCTTCATCTTCATCGTCGTCATCATCATCTTCATGCAAAAATAAATCTGAGGTTTCGGTCTCCTGAATGAAGATAAAAAGCAGTCTCATTTTAGAGGTAGCAATGCACTATCTGCAAGAGGCAAATCTATGCAAAGCAGTATCTTATTTCAGGTGCTGGTCTTCCAGTTGCTACTGAATAGTCTCTTTTGCAGGCATGCACAAAAAATGAACACTTTCTCTTAGAGAAGAGTTCAAGAACACTGCAAATATAAACTAAAACATTTAAAATTAATGCTAATTAAGACAAGTTATTGATAGGGACCTACCTAAATAAGGTGTAAAGCATGGTGCAGCAGCATCTTTAATCTCGCTCTTTTTACTGCGCCTTCCCCCCCACCCCCCAAACAGCGGAGTGGCCAAGAGGTTTTTTGCCTCTAAGACACTCAGCAGCATGGAGGGGGGAAACACAACAAAAAGAAAAAGATTAAAGGTATCGCTGTGAACTTCCGCTGCGATTTAGATGGATCCCTACATTTTGACAATATCCCTTTTAAATTCTACTTAATAATAGCTCAATATTTCCCTCTCTCACAAACTTTGGTCAAGAGGCAAAAAGAAAGCATGCAATGCAGATGCTGCTTTGTTCAGGATATGTTATTTTGAGGAAGCACGTGTGGCTTATGAAGTACTTCGTGCAGTTTCACTGCCCAAAAGATGTTCTCCCGTTTGCCTGGTACTTGATACATTGTGTATTCATCCCAAAAAACTAAGGCTCAGGAGTGCACATAAAGTGTTCTTGTTTAACTGTTATATCAGCATTTCAATGCCAGTGTAAGTGAGCTAAATCATTATAAAACTTTAAATATGAGCAAAACAGATTTAAAAGTTACAGCTGTTTAACTCGACTTACATTAATACAGAAGGAAAACAGTTATATAGGAACAGCTTATAAATTTAGTATCAGTATAATGGTTATATTTGCCTGCACCCTGAAAGAAATGAATTCCTTGTATCCCACTGTTTCAGTCTAACATTTGAAGTGGAATTTTGGTAACTTCAAATATCTAGTTATTTAAAATGTCAAAATAATAATATTTGAGGCAACACAATTTTTAATCAAAACAACAAAACACACAACACTTTGCCACATCATGAAGACAAGGCGGCAATGGACAGTAGAAAAAAATTCTGAAAATAAAGGAAGATTTAAGGTGCTTTCCATCAAAAAACATAAGCATTTGGGGGAAAACAGAACAAGATGACAAGCATCTAAATTCAGACACTAGAAAATGTACTAATTCATTCTCATCAGAACTTTTGACATGGTAACAATAAATGTTTAATGAGTATAATGAGAACCCAAATGATTTTTTCTTCATCATTTACATAAGCATGCACACTGTCCGATTAAAGACCAATACCGCTCTCTTCAGGATGTATATGCATGCATGTATTTGCATGTACGCACAGTTTCAGAATGACTGAATTCTGCCAAGAAGATTTATCTTTACAAGGTTCCCTCAAAAACAGAAGAAAATCCCTAAACGTTTTGTATATTATCAAAACCCACTTTCCCCCCTTTCCTTCAGTCATCACCGTTCTATGAAAAGGGGAGAAAAGGTATTATTGCAGTACCTCTTCCTTGGATTCCTCCTCCTCAATTTCTGTGGACACAGAAGGTACCTTGGGTTTGTGCCATGATATCTGTAGCCTTCGGTCTTTGAACTTTGATCCTTGGTTAGCAGCCTAAATTATATTTTATGCACGTTTTTTGTGAGTGAATTAACACAGGATTATTGAGAGTAAAAGCAAAAACAAATCAACCAACAGCATACTATCTTACATGCACTGGAAAGGAGAACCCTTTTAAAAGCACCAAACACCTCAAGGATTATACTACAGCCACCTCCCACTTAAGAGTAATCCTAAGCAGCATCTTCACTCAGTCCCTAATTTGCTGGATTACTATATGTATGTGGGACAACCTAGAGAGAGCAATAGGGCTCAAAATGTACTTGGCCAGAAGCCCATCACGCTGAAGATTTGCACCTTCACACTGTTAAAACTACTGTATTATTAGTAGCAACAAAAACCCATCTTAACTGAACTGCATGAATATGGTACAAATCATTTCTCTGAAGCAAAATTTACCAGGAATGTTTAGTGATCATGCTAAGTTTTTAAAACCACAGAAGTTTCTAATACTCTACTTACATTTTCAGCTTCTGAGCGGGACTTGAATGTTAGAACAACACTTAAAGGAGACTCCTCTTCTTGGAGGTCTTCTATATCTCCAAATTTCTGTGAAATACACACATACACACTGTGAACACGAATTTCACGGATCCAAATCATTATAATGAAGAGCTAGTAAGACATAGCACAGCAGCATTTCTTAGCATGGTCCTATTCAAAGGCATATTAAATATGGCTTTTTGTTGGAAGAGGATATACTGCCTGTATCATTCAACAATGCCACATAATCCCAAGCTTTGTTATCAAGAGACAAATATGAATATTTGTAAGCAGCTTTATCCACATCCATCAAGTCACTTTCCTCTTTAGTACTGCAAAGCAATTCCTTCTGAAGCTCATTAAATAACTTATTAATCTCCCAAGAGAAGCACACCTTCCCTAACTATATGTGCTCCACAGTATTCTACTGGAAAGCAGAAGATTGATCAATTCAGATGTCAGATGTTTGCAGCATATAACTAACCTTCTCCCTGAATGACTGATAGCAATACTGGTTTGAAATATTAAAAATCAAAGTGGATTTGTACAAACAGTCCCACTGCAGTAAGAGCAATTTAGAACTGTCCCTATTGTATCAATCCTCAAAACCAAAAGTATCTACAGTCAGTGAAAGCATTTTCTGAATCTTAGCCTAAATAGTAGTTGTAGGCAAAGAATACATTTTATTTAAAAGCCACCAAGCTTCTTGGAAATAGTTGTAACAACTTGAATAGCGAAGCCAAAACTCAACTGTCAATAAGAGCAGTAAAATGATAAAAATTGTAGGTACAGATAAAGTTGCCAGTAGCTCCTAAGTCTTCTATATAATTTTTCTCTGTGATGATGCCAAGGCTGCTATTATTGGATCAGTTACTCAAAATGTAAGGAATTACTGCTTTGCATGACAAAACATCTTGGGCAAGAGAAGGCTAATGGATCACACACCAGCCACAAACGATAATAGCCTGGTACAAATTTTTCATCTTTCTAAATCTTTGTTTCCAAAGATCCTAACACAAGGTAGACAGCAACGTATCTAGTAAACAGAAAAAGAACAAAATTAGTTTCCCTACCTGCTTCGTTTCGTGTCTACACACACACCCCTATAATTCTGAAACATTTAAAGTAACACCTATAGTAACATTTTTTATTTAGAAATAACAGGCTGTAAATAAAAGCATGAATTTGAGAGATGTATTAGTTATAACGCATGTACTGAACCAAAGCAGTTAAAACTCCAGGGCAGAAGACTTAGTAGTAGCGTTAAATTTAGTAATCCAAAGAAGCCAAAGCCACATATTGTTTCATTAACTCGTAACTTCAAAGTGGTAAGAAATGGTGGGGAGGGATGATTACTTGTTCCATTAAGAGAAGAACCCATAAAATCAAGTGCAAGACTTGGCGTAAGTTTCTTACGACACGACACACTTACAGAAAAGTGTTGTAACAACTCATCTTTCTCTTCTTCAACAAAGCCCCCAACAGTTAGTGCTTTGGGACGGTGATCCACCACCATGTGATTCAACATGCCCCTTCCTCTCCCACCACGACCTCGTCCTCTTCCTCTACCCTGAGCAGACATCACTTTTCCTCGACCTACAGGCAAGATACCTAAACGGGCAGCCTGTTAAAGAGAAAGGTATATAATGAGCAAAGCTATTTTCAGCTTCCATGGTAGTTAAAAGCTTCACGTTACACAAACATGAAGTTAGCAACTCTAAAGCAGCACACTCCTTTCAGACTCACTTCAACCTGGAGTTGATTGAGCTTTTTCCTCAACTCTGTTGTGTCTTCTCCAGATGACAATCTTTTGTGCAAGTCTAGTTCTGCATCTAAAATTTCCTTCTGTGCCTAAAAAACAAAAAGGAGAAGAGGCAGCATTTATATCCCACTTCTAAATGCCTCAATCCACTGATTTTAGCAATAATCTTAAGAAATGAATGCGCAGTAAATCCAATAGTATCTATATTCCTCTCCAAACCCAATGATAATGGTTAATGGAGGAATGTGACATTCCATTTTGAAAAGCAGAGATTTCTCTACTTCCAAACTGGAACAAGAACTCCTGTGTGGGGTATGTTTATATGTATTTGGTAAGAACCAGGGTCAAGTAACATATGGGGCTTACATATGTATAATACATGCTTCAAGGAAGCCTTTACTGTTTGTTGGAGTACCACTACAGTAGATTTTCTCACTAGCAATCTGGCCTTGTACTGATAAGACATACTTTGTCCTTGCTAATAGAGCTTTTGTTCATTATATATCCAACATACAAAGTTCTGAAAGATATTCAACCATCAGATATTATTAAAAAGATTTCTCTTAGTTTTTTTTATTAACAGGATCCAACTATATAATAAGTTATTCAAGAGCCAAAGAATAAAATTAAAAAGAACAATTAAACAATTCAGAGCAACTTGTTACTTTGTCAGCTTTCTGAAGGAGCTTTCTAAAGCAATCTTTTACTCAAAAATGGAGGGGAGAAAGGCAACGTGAAGATTGCTTTTTCCCAACCCAGTTTACCAAATAAAATGTTTTTCTTTCAGAAATCAATTAGGCATTAGAAATCGGTAGAAGGGCAGGATAGGACAGCGTTTCCTGCAACACATACCTCTGTTTTGCTCTTTAGTTTTGATGGTGTGGAGGCAGTAGATGAAGTTTTTAATTCATCTTTTAACTGAGAGATCTTTTCTGTTAGTTCATTTAAGGTCTTCATTATCTCTGCCCTCTCCTCTGGTTTCATAGCTTTGTTCTTTTCCAGTTTGGATATCAACATCTACATATTAAAAGAACACTAGAGTAAGGATGCAATTCAGACAAGAAAAGAAACCACTGAAAAATTTTTGGTGCCTCCTAGAATCAGAATCCAACAGTTGGAATACATCCAGACTTACCTTCTGGTATTCTATTTGCTTCTCCAACATCTCCTGCTTCTTTTTCCTCATATCTTGTTGTAACTTCATTGCCTCCTAAATGAGACAGAGATGCTTTCAGTACAGCAAGCACACATTATTTATGAATTGGAAGAATAAATCAAACCATACCACTTATTCTTGCGTGAGATCATGTCTAGTATCAGTTTAATACCAGGCACTTCTTGCAGAGGGAGACAATATTGCAATGGACAGGGGAACAGATTTGTCTTATCTTGAAATTACTATAATCCTAAATATAGCCACGGTGGGTCAAGCACAGTAATCTAACACCAGCTCCTTTAAAGTGTTCAGATATTTCATACTGTGTTTTTAAAAATACAGATGTAGAAGCTGTAGGAGATGAATTAAGATCTATGTGATAAACCAGTATGCTGTCTTATATGCTCTTTACAGTAAAGGGTAAGTTGGAAGGAACGTTAGGAGGGAATGAGGAATACTCCTAGACTTTCCCTTGCTCAACTACATTATTCCACTGCAAGACATCCATTTGAAAAACCGATGGGAGGGAGTGGGGGGAGGGAAGGAGACTACATCAAGACACGCTGTTTCTGCTACATGTTACTGAACAGAAAAAAACTAAGCTGGAGTTGAATGATACCTTAGGTGTCTTTATTTACAAAGGACCTCTGTTAGCTCAGTTGAACAAACACACATAGGAGTTACCTGCTTCTTTTTGAGAGCCTCTTGCACATCATGAGATTTTGATCCAGCACCAGGTTTCATAGAGGTCTTCAGATTTGAAGAACTATAAATCATCTTTGTATGGCTTGTAGAAGTAGGAAATGTCTGAAAATAAAACATTGAAGTAAACAAGATAAGGCCAAGATCAGGTTTTAAAGAGTATGTTACTTTAAAAAGTGTTCTCATTTAAGCTTGCAACTGACAAACCCTTTTAAGTATCTGAAGCTTTGTGTGATGTGACAATTTTTAAAAGACTGACATTTAATATATTTGCATGTATACAGCCATCACTATAAAAGGGTTGCTCTGCTCACAAGCACAGGACTTGAATTCCTGTTAAAATTCATTTGACAACAAGTGCCCTTCTCTGGCGCAGCCAAAATTCTTACTTGGGTCCTAGTTCCTTTGATATTATTCTCCTACTACCTAGACTTGCAACTAAACACAGTATTGCCAACTCTCATGATTTTTGGCATTGTTCTTTAACTGTACACTTTCCAAGTGGGGGTATGTGTGCGTGATATATATATATAAAAAAAGACAGAGCTAAGTTTTTCACATTCCCCAAGCATAGACTTTAAGAACAATGCCAAAATTCATGAGACTTGGCAACATTGTAATTACGTTACTTTAGCATTTGAATACTACGCTCTCTACTCAGAAATTTAAAAAGGCAATAGCTTGCAGTTCCTTCCCCACAAATTGTATATCTTTTGTTTGCCAGGAGTGTATACTGCACCACAATGTAAGTGCAACTCAACTGGATAAAAATTTCTTCAGAGCCATATGAAGCACTTACATATTTTTGTTACACAAATAAGTTCCCAAAATGCTACAGATCAACATAGCCAATGAGCAAACAGGGAAATCCCATCACTAAAAAGCAGGGAAATCCCATCACTAAAAACCAACAGAATATATAAATGGGTATTTGTTAAGCAAATACTGAAGAGGCCTTCCAATAGCTAGCGTTATCAGACCTCCATTTAAACTAAGATCTGACAATTATTTCTCAAAAAAATTAACCCAGTTTTCTAAATAACCTCTGTTCTTCCAGCTTAAGTAACTGTGATGCCACACAGAGTATTAATGGAAGAAATAAAAAGCCAGGAATAAAAACCCATAAGTCCAACCTTCTGGTTCATGGCTCTAACCCAGTGGTGACAAATATGTGGCTTGTGGGACTTTTGATGAGCATAGGAATTTGGGGGTGGGTGTGGACCTTCCCTCAATTTGGGGCTATAGGTCCACTGGAGATGGGCTTTGGTAGCAGGGGGAAAGTGTCAAGTGTCTTTTGACATAGCACTGCTTGTACCACCACTGCTTCCCATCACCTGCCCTGATGCCACTGGGTCTGGATGTGGACTCTGAGGAACCCTAAAGTCTGTATCTGGGTCAGATGGCAGGGTGAGTTTAACACCTCTCTTCTAACCAATAGGCCAAAGTCACCAGTCTAACGCTAGTCTGTCTCTCATACCTGAGAATCTTCTGCAATAGAACTTGACTGGTTCAGGTCAGTCTGGTTTCCACCAACTACTCCAAGGCGACGTTTAACTGAAACTTTATTAAGGACATAGGCACCAGATGCCAGTGGTTTAGTCATCACCTACATATCAGCAGACATTAAAAAAAAGGAAAAGAACAAATAGTCTGCATTTTAGAAGCACATACTACTGATCTTGACTGCTTCCTTTATCAAACTAGTCACAAAGCATTGATTTGGTGTGAAAGCACAATACCTTTGAAACATTGCTATGTACCGTCACAGCTGGAGGCTGTGAAGTCAAACTCTGAGGGTGAGGATGAAGCTGGTGATGAAGAGACTGTGGTGGCTGCTGCTGCTGTAACGATGGCTGCTGCTCATTTTCCCTATGCCACAGCACTCTTATAAACCGATTGTTTAAAACTGCCTCTGTGCTAGAAATGGCCTTTCTGGCCTCATCATTGCTTAAGTACTGAATTAGAGCGGCTTCAGGATCATTTTGGAAAGCAACCTGAGAAAAACAAGTTCAGGATATACAATTGATTATCAAATCTATATTTCATAGGAAATGAGTCACCTGACACACTGCAAAACCCTTTTACATTATTCCAGAAGGGTGGGGGGTAGAATTTCCAAGAGTCAACTACAGTCAATTGTGCCCAGTATGCTTTTAAGGTCAAAGCCAAGGTATCCTCTGACAATTATGCAGAAAAACAAAATACACATACAACAGGACCTTTCACTTATGTACAAACACAGTACCACCAAGAGGCAGAGGACAACAATAGCTGCAGGTAGAAGCAACAATGATAGCACTATATCATGATAGCACTGTATAACAGGCACTCCCCCCACAATACTTTTCTAAACTTCTGTGGAACAGCAGTGTTTGCACGCAAGAAGTAAATATACAGTGTTGTAGACACTATTAAAGATTACAGAAATGGGAAGAATTCTGGCCAAAGACTCAAAGTTACTGCCATGCAAGAAAAAGGTTTAGTCTATACTCAGAGAATGCCCTCCCAGTTCTACTGGATAAATTGGGGGGTGGGGGGGGAGAGGAAGAAAGATATTCAATTTAAGTTTTCAAGTTATTTCATTTTCATATTCCAGTTTTGTTCAGATGGCAATGAGTTTTACACATGCTACTTTTGAAGGAAGGCAAATCCCTACCAGGGTAAGCAAAACTTAACTGAGAAATCTAAACTACCTTTTGAACCAAAGTCTTACACACTTCAAACTCTAAAACAGTAGACATATTTTCAGAGGTCCTACATATTCAGTTTTCCAGATGAAGATGGTCTGAAGGCCACATTTCTTTCCCAGGCAAACAGTAGAAGACTTTAGTAAAAATTTAGCCATGCAACTAAGAATATTTCATTTACATGGTGCTTTTCACTCCAGATTATCCCACAGAACACTAGTTGCAGCTGCCTTTAGGGGACATAGCAATAAACCGGCACAAACTTTGGTGAAAGGTACTAGGATAAAATTTTGATCTTCAGGAACTGCCATAGGATCATCGTACAAAACAGAAAGGATCTTTGTTTTTAAAAAAAGTGATATACAAGGCAAAATAAGATATATAGCACTCAGGAAGATAAGATAGCTTAATTTTATTGCTCAACTCCCCCACTTGCCAAGACTTCCTCCCAGTTTTCTGCCTGGAGCTAGAAGCCAGTGCAATACTATAACAGAGGGGAGAAAGTAAAGCAGGGTATGCCAGACAACACTATTATGCTCGCAGTATATCCATATAGCCGTCCTAACTTTTCCAGTGTTACAGTCTAGCCATATGATCATTTTTAAAGGGATCTTTAAAAAGCCTTGTATTTACCTGAATGTTGACAATGGTTCCAAATTTACTGAAGTGCTCATTGAGTCGTGTAATATTATTTAACTCAGGAGGGATTTTACGAACTTCCAATTTGGTGTTTGTATACTGATTCTTTTTCAGAAATCCTGGTTTATTCTGGTTGTTATTGGTTTGCCTAGAGGAGACAAGGTAACATTCGAGGTGGGCTTACTTGCATCCATTCACATTTGCTAGTTAACAGTCTATTGATCATAACATTTACATGCCTTCCATAATAATGCTGGAAAACAAACTCAAAACACAATTTAAATGAAAAACTGAGACTAGAGATCAAATATTATATGCAATGTAAATGGAAGGAACTTGTCCACAAATTACCAAAATCTAGTTTTACCTGTTTTGGGGACTCAGAGAAGTCCCCAGCTGCTGCTCCTGCTGTAGTATGATCTGCCCACCCGTGGTAGGGGTGTGTACTGGGTTAAAAAGGGTCTGCAGCCATTCCTGAAGGGCCAGCCTGTTCCCCCTCTACCCCTTTTCCAAAATCCTAGATCAATCCGTGGCTGTCCTTAACAATACTTACTTTCCAATCCAGGGTTTCTTTACAGATGGCCCTTCCATGCTACCTGGTGGTCTTTTCCTGCTATCTGGTTCAAGCACCACTCTTGTTACATTGCTGTTATTTATCATGGGAATTGGAGGCTCAGTCTGGATGATGATATTAGCAGCTGGAGGACAAAAGCGTGTGATCATTTTCTACTAACACCAAAACACAAGCTCTTTTATGGAATTACTTCAGAGAATGCAAGTAACCAAAGTAGTAATCAGGATCTCATAACACTTATTTTGGAGAAGCACCACAAGAAAAATCTATCAAAAGCTAGACATTACGTTTTAGCTGGGAGGAATAAAGGGGGGGAAAGGGAAATAACAACAAAAAAGATAGCTATCTATCTCAGTGCTGATTCTTAGGCCTGTGTGAATAGGGAAGTATTCAATTCAGATTTGGCTGACTTGGAGGACAGTGATTCTATTTGGATCACTGTCCCAATTTGATTCGGCTGAATAAGCTTTGGAAGATTCAGATTGGCCGCGTAGAGGCAGGCACAGCCAGGCGGCTGCAGGTTCTCTCACAGCTCCTCCAGCTGTGCCTGCCTCTCCCCAGGTGGAGGGAGCTGCGGGAGAAGCCCCCATGGCTGCTCTGCCTTGCCCCATCCCCCATCCAGCCCCAGCACTTAAAAAAAAGCAAAGTCAAACACTCACTGGCTGCACGAGCAGCAACTGGGGCCTCTGGGCACTCGTGGCAGAGCCCCACTGCTGGGAGATGCGCACTGTCTGAGAGCTGGGGCTGAACAGTGCTGGGCTCTGGCTGACACGTGAAGCCTCCCCAGCTCCCTGGGGAAATCGAACCAGGGGCTGGGGGAATGTTAAGGTCCCTGAATATTCCCCCAGTTCCTGGTTCAATTCCCCAGGTCCCTGATCTGGCCCTCAGTTCTCCAGGCCCCCAGATAATGCGGGATGACAGCAGACTGCTGTCTGGATGGTGGCTCTAGCCTATTTCCCCATGTGGCAGCAGCACCCTGCTGAAGCCCTGCATGCAGATCCAGGGGCCATGTCCCCTGGGAAGAGCTGGGGGAAGTGATCAGAGAGCTAGGGAACCAAACCAGAGCTCCAGCTGACACATGGAGCCGCCCCAGCTCCAGGACATAGCGTGGCACCCTGCCGAGCCACACTGCACCTGCACACTGCCACGCAGGTGCCTGGCAGGGGACAACCCCTGCTGCCCTGCACTGTATGAGGGGGCTCTGCCATGAGCACCCAGAGGCCCCAATCGCTGCTCCTGCAGTGAGCATGTTTTTTTTTTTTTTTT